GGGATGGCTGGCGCAGATAGCCCTCGTGTAGCTTTGTGGTGATGACTAGCTGCCTTCTCTCTAGTCTTACACTGCTAAATTAGGGATGGCTGGCGCAGATAGCCCTCGTGTAGCTTTGTGGTGATGACTAGCTGCCTTCCCTCTAGTCTTACACTGCTAAATTAGGGATGGCTAGCGCAGATAGCCCTCGTGTAGCTTTGTGGTGATGACTAGCTGCCTTCCCTCTAGTCTTACACTGCTAAATTAGGTACGGCTAGCGCAGATAGCCCTCGTGTAGCTTTGTGGTGATGACTAGCTGCCTTCCCTCTAGTCTTACACTGCTAAATTAGGGACGGCTAGCGCAGATAGCCCTCGTGTAGCTTTGCGCGAAAATCACAAGTAAACAAACAATTACGTTCGTGTTTTGTTTTATCATTAAGCTACGTTTTCCAAAAAATGAGTCGATTACCAGTTTTGATAAATGTCAATAATATTTAAAGTTATTTGAAACGTTATAAACCAATAATACTAATGAAAATAACTCTAAAGAGAAAATATATTTATTAAGTTACAAACGTATGTTAACCAGTTTGTTCTGAGATTCTTTTAGATAGTTACCGTTTTATCCTTTTAAGTTTGTTTGTTTGTTTGGAATTATGCACAAAGCTACACAATAGGCTATCTGTGCTCTGCCCACCATGGGTATCAAAACCCGGTTTCTAGCGTTGTAAGTCCGCAGACATATCGCTGTGCCATTTGGGGGCGTTCCTTTAAGTTCAGCTGCAGCTGAATAGAATTAAAACAAGAAGATAACATTGACATTAACCATTCTCAAATTTAATATAAAACGTTCTAAGTAATTCATCCGACTTATGGTTCAGAATAGAAAATTTTTAAAAACTTCGACCGAAGTTTTATGTTTTATACATACTCAATGTTTTTACTTGGGACAAATATCATGGAATATTAAATATATATATATAAAACTGTATATAAACTTTGTCTTTCCAGACGAGCCAAAGCTTATGTTAATAAACATGAAGGCGAACTAGTTCACAGCAAACGATCAAAAGACATAGTGGCAAAGTACAAACTGTTGTTGAGTAAGGTAAGATCAGATGGACAGTTTGTGTTTCTTAAAGGTAAGATCAGATGGACAATTTGTGTTTCTTAAAGGTAAGATCAGATAGACAGTTTGTGTGTTTCTTAACGGTAAGGTCAGATAGACAGTTTGTGTTTCTTAAAGGTAAGATCAGATAGACAGTTTGTGTGTTTCTTAACGGTAAGATCAGATAGACAGTTTGTGTTTCTTAAAGGTAAGATCAGATAGACAGTTTGTGTGTGTTTCTTAAAGGTAAGATCAGATAGACAGTTTGTGTGTTTCTTAACGGTAAGATCATATAGACAGTTTGTGTGTTTCTTAACGGTAAGATCAGATAGACAGTTTGTGTTTCTTAAAGGTAAGATCAGATAGACAGTTTGTGTTTTTTAAAGGTAAGATCAGATAGACAGTTTGTGTGTTTCTTAACGGTAAGATCAGATAGACAGTTTGTGTTTCTTAAAGGTAAGATCATATAGACAGTTTGTGTGTTTCTTAAAGGTAAGATCAGATAGACAGTTTGTATTTTTTAAAGGTAAGATCAGATAGACAGTTTGTGTGTTTCTTAACGGTAAGATCAGATAGACAGTTTGTGTGTTTCTTAACGGTAAGATCAGATAGACAGTTTGTGTGTTTCTTATAAACGCAAATTGGTAGATAGACTATGTTTCCTATAAGTTTCTATTTCCTCTAAACGCTCATTGATAGTTTATTTCATATAAACTCAGACTGATAGCTTCCTATAAATGTAAAAATATACGTAGATTAATGGATAGTTTTAATAAACACATAAGTATAGGTAGTTTAATGGATAGTTTCAATAAACGCAGAAATATAGGTAGATTAGTCAATAGTTTTCAATAAACGCAAAAGATGGATTAACGGATAGTTTCCTATAAACGTAAAAATATACGTAAATTAGTGGATAGTTTCATATAAACGCAGAAGTGTAGGTAGGTTAATAGATAGTTTCCTATAAACGCAGAAAGACGGGGTAAATTAATGGATATAGTTTCTGTTTCCTATACACGCAGATTTCACATATTAAATCTTGAAAGAATCAGTATTTTTATGTGAGAAACACAACAAAGATACTGTAGCTTGATGCAACAATTTTCTTCCAGTGAGGGAGACTTAATCCATTATACTTCTTTCCAGTTGTTGGACATGTAAAGTCAGGTAATTCGTAAATTAAAATGTCATTTAAATAAACAAGGTTTTCTATAGAAATAAAGTTTTTCCTTAAGACATTGTTCAAAATAACATATCCAAGATCATCACATTTGTGTGCCTAAAACTTTGTATTTTACGGCTTAAGGTATTTGACTTTCATCCTTCCCTAGCTGGGCCCGGCATGGTCAGGTGGATAAGGCGCTCGATTCGCAATCTGAGGGTCGCGGGTTCGAATCCCCGTCCACCAAACATGCTCGCCCTTTCAGCCGTGGGGGCGTTATAATGTGACGGTCAATCCCACTATTCGTTGGTAAAA